CCCATTTTGCAGCGTTGCTCGGTATTTGCAAAAAGATTAGACTGAAAGTTATATTAAGTGTATTTAAATCATCAAACTGTAGTTTCTTTGTGTCGTGTGAGACCTTTTGAGAACATCTCAATGTATTTCTGCTCTATTCTCCTCCTTTTTTGAAGGCAGCTGACATTCTTCTTTCACTTTTGTGAAATTTTCTCCTTTTTTTATCCACTCACTTCTCCATCTGCTTTCACTTTTGTTTGCTTGGGCCGTCTCTCATCCCAACTTGATAATGAGGAATGCGGTGTGACCCTGACCTCTATCAGCCCATGCATGACCTTCTGACTCCCCCACATAACCTTTAACCTTCTCTTTGACAGCTTGATTAATTACCCTGTGTTATGATTTATGAGTAAGTGCTATGTAAAAATAATAGACAACAGGTGGTCCTCTAAAAACTTTTTGTGGCATGTTTTCTTTTCCTCCCTAACCTGATGAGCTATTTTAAGTTGGGAACTTAGTGGGACAATGTGCATTTGGCAGCAACATGGCATTTTTACGCACTTGGACACAGTGCTGGAATTCAGGCGGCCGAGGTGTAGCTGGGAGGGAAATATCACAAAGTATTAGCAGAGTGCAGTTGTGAAAATGTACATGGGGTGGAAACAGAATGTGCAGTCAACTACATTTTGGGCATTTCAGTCGCAGGTCACGTCTTGAGAAAATTGGTCAAATAATGCAGGGGGAATTTTTCAAGCTGAGCAGTATCTCCAGCAGCTATGGTTTACTTCACTGCACCTCACCAATGACTTCTGATTAGTTGTCATGACCTCATCCCACTATCGCACCTACAGTGATGTACCCTTCTCGTGGAAAAGATGGGAAATGAAAGAACATAGATCTTTCCAGAAAGATGAATGGACGTCACCGTGTCCATTTTAACCACAGACAGGTTTAAGAGCTGAGAGCTTTTGAGTTGCATTCCCCCCGGGTTTGAACTCCAGTCTTGTTATCAGTGATCCAAATCAAAACCTGAACGTGAAAATTCAGGTTGATAAAGCTTAGGAAAATGATCTCTTTCAGACTGTCACTTGCAGTCCAAAAAGTTAGTTACATAGGTCAAAAGATTCCTCTCCAGCCCTGACCTCTCTGGTCACATCTGGTGTCCCATCTTGGTGGATTAATATGCAGAGCTGGATGCTTTCAGCTCATTTATTCATGTACCTCAAATACTTTGGGGTTCTTTTTTTATAACCTAACTCTTGCTGTCAGAGGCAATATTTTTATTCCTTCCATTTCGAACATCTCGCTTGAACTTCAGTAAGAGGCAGGAAGTACCGCTCCATTTCTGGTTCATGTTTTACGGTGGAAAAGGTCCTTCTACGTTGTTCTGGCTTTGTAGTAAAGGTATTGTATTTGAGATTCGTGATTCTTTCCAACACTTGACTTTGTCAGCCTGCTTGTCCTTTCATCATCATTTGCTGGCTCAATCACATATGCTAATTGCATTTGTATTTATGAACCTAGGAGTGGAGTTTGCAGAGTCCTCTGCCTCTAGAAGTAGGTACCTGGAGAATGCTAGTAGTTAGCACATATTACATTTTTCTTACCTTGAAGTGTTAGAATTTGGATTGTTTTGGGTGTTTTAGTCTGAGAAAGAAACTGTAATTGTACCGACTGAACTCGTAGATTAGAGGCTGGGACTTGTATTTATCAGTGTCTGTCCTGATTATTGCATCTCATCACATATACACTAATGGGGGATGCAGCCAAATCTTGGCTTCTGTGCAACATTAGTATTCTATCAGACATGCGGTAGAACGCGGGACTTGGCTTGTTTCAGTCATCTAAAGATTGATGGGGGTACAGCAGGGTTTTTCCCAAAGTTTGGCTTTTTACTCTGAAAAAACTTTGCACTTTGGAGGGTGGTTTCTGCTTCTGTGTGCACTGGATGCACTCCACTATTATGTATGTTGAAAACGTACCAAATGTTTTAATGAGAGTGGAAGCTTTAAAAACTCCCCTGTATGGCAGTGCTTACTTAGATCATACGTGACTCCATTTTAACAATGCTCTAAGCTCATCATAGGTGAAATTGGTATTTTCAGTGACATTCAGAGATACATACTTCTGAACACTATTCTCATATAAAAAGATACTTTTTAATGAATGTGATTTTGTCTTTGCTTAACATGCCAAACACTGTGTATCTTGCGTATTTTTTAATTTTGCCAAAGGCCTTTTTTCAGATGTTAGTGGTCTTGTGTGTTCAGTCTTGCATTGACTTGCACCCTGTTCAGCCCCATTTCATTAGTGAGGAGTTCCACCTTTTTTTTTTTTATTCCTTTTCTGATTGCATTGAACTTTAATGGTGCAGCTATGCCCACACCAAATAATCTTTTCAAAAATTTAATTGTACTTAAAAGCCACATTGTTTACATAGATGTTATTTAGAGCTGAGTAATCCTTTTCAGTAGCAAATGCTTGTGCTAAGGCTGAACAAGAGAGGTTGTTACAGTTTTACTCATCATTTTGTTATTCCATGTTGATTTATACATGTCATTTTTGAATCTTCTTTCTGATGCCATTATTTTATATCTTGCCATTTAGAATGCAGGACAAGGGACAGGCAAATACACTGCATCATTTAAGCAAAACAATCTGAAAAGAGATTACTTCCCTAAGAGAAAGTTTTACAATTTTTAAGATAATTTTTTCTTTTTCAATTATGGGAAAACCTATCTCAGTTACTATTTAATTATTTTAATTGTGCAGACAGGAAACACCTGCTGTCTTTGAGAAATTTAAAAAAAAAATAAATGTAAAGGGAGACATGTTGCACTGCTTAAAATGTAATTGATAAAAATCCTTTAATTAATTTATGAAATAGTGAATTTAAAAATGGAATCATATTTCATCTATTGATGTCTATGTGAAAAATTGACATTGTGTCCTCATAACATTCGACAAATGAGTCATGTAATTTTCAGTTACATAATCAATAACTTAAACAAATTCTACTTCTTTGATGATTTATGTGTCTGTTTTGAGGGCATCTTAAAATGGACACAGAGCTTCAAATCGCTGTAACATTTGTAGACCTGTAATAAACATATGAATTTTGCATTTGGCATCGTATAGAAAGCAAAACAAATCGATAACACAGAACTTCTCTGCTCAAAACAAGCAGCTTGAAATGAACAACACAGAGCCCCAGGTACTACGAGGGCTTGGTCCTACCCTGCCTCTAGCAAGTTCAAACAGCATGCTTTCTTCTGAGGCATATGGTTTAGGGATGTTTGTAAGTTGTGTTCTGTCATGGATTTTGGACTTTGAATTTTCCAAGTTAGAAATCTTGTGTTTTTAGTATGGTGGTGTGTTAACATGACCATAGCAATGGCATGGGTAGGTTTTAAACTTTGTCTTCTTTAGTTTTCCATTTTCCTTTGCTCTTCCCCCTCAGTTTATTTATTTATTTGTTTGTATTTATCCCAGTTCAATTCACTCAGCAGGGTGGGCAGGAGAGCAACATGACAGGAGACCACTTACTCATGGTGCCGTGTCTAGCTAGGAGGCAGTTTTCTCTTTGGCCTACGTTGACCTTTTTTGACTATGTCCCTTACACCACAGACAGTGTCCTGAATGCCTCTTATTTCACCCTGTTTAGCAGAGTGCAACCGTGCCCTTTAACTTGGGGTTTGGTGGGAGGAGAAGCTGTGGCAGACATTTGAGAAGGGCACAAGGACGAGGGGTAGGAACTCCCTTCAGATGCGATTTTGATAACTAGTCAAGTGTGTCCAACTGTAGAAAATCACTGAGTGACAATCTGTCTACCTGACAGTGGCCACAATGCACTACAAGGTTTGTGAATGGCTCTACAGATTAGAATAAAGCGAGCCCAAAGAAAGTGTCTTTTGTTGGTGTGGGCTTGGTTTGCTCTGTCCAGCTAGGTATGGGGACCTCTTTGATTTTTGTGCCTAGCCTTAGTGCAAAACGAAGCACCCAATGAAAAGCTGGAATAAAGCTGTTTGGTTAGATAATTAATACAGACATTTCCAAAAAGTAAGTCTTTATTAAATTACTTTTAAAGGACAGCTTGATTTTGACTGGGAACCCATTATAACTTCAAGGACTCATCTGTTAAATGCACTTGCTTCTCTTTTCTGCCTGCGTTTGTGATTGTATCTTCCATGAATATTACAATTCTTGTGTGATTTGCCATCATTTAAAAGTCATAATAAAATGATTGGCTGATTTATTTAAGAATTTATTTCTCATTCATAGATTCATGCATTTTTCAACGCTCAAAAATGAGGCACAAAAATGCAGCTTGTATGCTTAAAAGCTTATTGCAGGTCACAGATTTTCTCTGGGTTTGTTGAATACAGGACGTAATCCCAGAAAAGTTTTAGAGCAGATTTAAAGTCAGTCCCCACAGTAAAAGAGGTGACCTGTAAGCAATATCACTGAATCAGTTTTGGTATTGATTCACTGTTAGTGCTGCGATTGGCTTCTGCATGGTATGCTTGTTGTCAGCTAGACAAAAGGTTTTACTGTTTTAAAGTTCAGTGAATAGTTTTCACATGCTTTTTTACTATATATATAAATATATGAAAACCGTACATCCTTTTTATTTAAAGGTTTTTACTGGCTTGGTCCTTTTTTATTCATTCAGAAGCATTTATTTTGCTTCTAGTTCTCATATTGTTTTCTGAAAAAGTCATATAAATAAATGAATATGAATAAAACAACATATAAATTATTTTAAAGGCAACTTTTCTGATGCTGAGAGATGTGTATAAGCATAAGCATATGCACAGACACATTCACACATCAATAGCCCTTTAATGACAGAAATGAACCAGAATATTCTTAAAATACCCTTCTATAAATTATGTGGTGTGAAGCTGCTGAAATAAATATAAAAGTTTTCAAGAGTATTAAAATAAATGCAAAGCATTTTCAAGCATTAAATCTCCATTTTCATATTTCTTCTTTTTGTGTGTGTGTCTCTTCTAAAACAGGAAGGCTACGGAGTAATAGTACTGAATCCCAATGAGAACTATATTGAAGTGGAGAAGACAAAAGCCCAAGTACAGCTGTCCTCTGATAGCTCAGATGAACCTGCAGAAAAGAGGGAAAGAAAAGATAAAATCCAAAAGGAAACAAAGAAGCGACGTGACTTCTACGAAAAGTACCGAAATCCACAAAAAGAAAAAGAAACTATGCAGATGTATATTAGAGTAAGTTCCTTTTGTTTTGTTGCCCTTCGTTAATCATGCATAGATATGTTTACTGTCCATATTGGCTAATAAACAGCATGCTCTTTTAAAAACAAGCACATTATCAAGATGGTATTCAAAAGTTTGTACAGAGTTCCTGGCTCTTTATTCTATTGGTATTTTTTGTCATTTGTGGAATATGAAGTTTCAGAAGAGTTACAAAACATTCCTTTCTAATTTCAAATGGGAACTTGAAATAAACGTGGGTACTATCAAGAAAGGGAATGATTTAAGGAAGACATTGTAAAAATGATTTTATAAACACAGATTGTACGTAAGAAACACTTCATAGTAGAGCTTGGGCAACATACTAGCTAGACATGTCATGCATGCATTTATTGTGTTATATTGTCTTGTAGTGGGGAGGCAGTAGTTAGGGCCTAATAGTTTTTTAACATATTACCTGCTGAATTAATACTGTATTGTGGAAAATACCAGTGTTCATCTTGTGTGGTAGCAGATTTACCCTATAATGTGCTGTTTTCATATGAGCAGCCTTCCATTGTGTTTCAGCTGAACTTCTGAAGGGAGATAAAGAAGGCGAGTTATTAATATCTTAATAAATATTTAAGCTAGAATAGTTTGAGAATTGTGTAATGAGGAAACTCTGTCCCATGCTCTTTTCTTACTCAGTGAACCTTTGCACTTTGTAATGCTACCAGCATGGGATCATTATAGCAGTGCTACCCTAGGATTTCTAATTCTGCAGGGGGCACAAACAATATTATTTGCACTTTGACACATTCTGCTTCATATACATACTATGTATTATACATACAAACTGAGTCATGAAGTTTCCAAAGCCCTTCTTAGGAAAGTTAGCATTTTCATTCAGTGGTAAAACGTGTAAACATGTAAAGCAGCACCAGATTGTATTTTTTGTAGTTAAAACAGTAAAACTGCATGTGCCTTTCTGGTGCGAAACAGGGGAAAAACAGCAAAAGATATGTTAGAATCATCTTAAATTTTAATGTGTTCCTGTTAATTGTGGTTTAGCATAATGTTTGAAAGAGAAATAACAGCTGTACTGGCTAGTTAGAAAGGTTTGTAACCTGGATGCAAGATTACCACTAATACCATAAATATTACTGTGTCTTTTGAGAAATAACTTGCTACAGAATATAAGAAACAAAAGGATGCATGTACATATTCAAAGTCAACCATTGCTGCTTTTTTAGGAGAGATGCTATTCTGACCACCAAACAGACCCTGCTTCTTCAGAGGGCAACCAAACTTGTCTTGGGGTCCATCGAAAGCCAGTAGATGATGTGCTGTATTGTCTAGGAAAAGCATTTAGTCAGCATGCTGGTCAGTGTTCTCTTTTTTTGATAGCTTTTTAGCAGTTCCACCTGCCTGTAGCTTTTTTGCTTGATGAGGCACAAAATTTGGCTCCAGGAGGTTTGACCCCCAAAACATAAAATGCAGGACTCCATCGCATTTTCTTTTCCTCGCAGCTCTGTGCTTCAGATATGACTGTTGACATTCCCTTTATTTGATGTTCTTCAAACCAATGAAAGAAGTAGCTTAAGTTTTAGTGAATGTATGGGCAGTGGTTTCTTTTTCCTGGGCGAATTAACTGAAATAGGGTTGTCTGTTGCAGTTGGTGTTTAATTCTGAAAGAATTCTTTGGAGTTTATCTTTTGTTTAACAGTCTGTAGTACAGAGAGGTTTTTGAAACAGAGTGAAAAATGTCCCTTCTTTGGTGTGTGGCAGGACAAATTACTGCAATTTACTTAACCTATCTGTTTCTGAAACAAAACCGAACTACCAATAAGGTGCCATTTACTCTGTTGGATAGAACTGCTCAGTCTGTAGGTGATTGCAAGAGCAGCTGTGAATATAGCACGCTCTGTTCCACCTTCCTGGCTACAGACACTGTTATCAGCCTGTCCAGGCATTGCATGAAACAAACAAAATAGGTAGGTTTAGATTAGACATTAGGAAGAAGTTCTGCCCTGTGAGGGTGGTGAGGCCCTGGCACAGGTAGCCCAGAGAAGCTATGACTGCCCTATCCCTGGCAGTGTTCAAGGCCAGGTTGGATGGGGCTTGGAGCAACCTGGTCTAGTGGAAGGTGTCCCTGCCCATGGCAGGGGTTTGGAACGGTGTGAGCCTTAAGGTCCCTTCCAACCCAAACCATTCTGGGATTCTGTGATTCTAAAATGATGCAGTGCCATATTTGCTGTGTATTAATTGCCTTCCAGACTATATGTCCTGTGGGTACTGCCATTTGTTTGCACCATAGGACTTGGAGTCCCATTTGCTACAACCACAGGCTGCGGGGGCTACAGTGTTAGAGCAGGTTTGAGTAATCTCAAAGACCAATTTGAATATGACCTTTGCAGTCATACATATATGACTATTATAGCGTACATTTGACTCACAGGGCTCTTGAAATAAGACATATTGTCACTCCACAGAAGTGTTTAAGAAGGGTATATGCTTCATCATGATCTCGTCAAAGAGTTCTGAAAAACCTGAGGAAGCTTACATCATTTTGCTGAGCAGGTTAAAACTGGTGCAGAGAGACTAAATGAAAAATATCCTCACAAGAAGTCATCAACTGGATCTGAAGTTGATGGAAAATTTGTTCCTGTCAAATATGCTGGAGAAATTGTTTCAGGCTGTTAAGTAGAAGGAATAAATATCATCGGTTATGATCTCAAAGGGTCATTGAGATCTGTTGTGATCTGATGAGGAAATGGCATTTGAACAAATGAAAGCTGTCTGGATGATGCTCCCAATTGTGCAGGTAGATTTTCCAAGAATGAGAAAAATGGAACTCTCTCATGGTAAACTTCTTTAAGCATTTTCTGTGTTTTCATAAGGGAAAAGAAAAAAAAAAAGCGACTAAAAAAAAAACCTGGGATACTCAAGAATATGTAAAAACAGAGTCTTTACATATGAAAAAGCTCAAATTACACTGTATTTTTCTACAAAATGAGTACAAATAAAAGCAACTGTTGGAGTGTGTAGTGCAATAAGCACAGTGCTTGAAAGATCAAAGTACTTATTGTTTCATGCTGGAAGTTCCCTCAACTATGAAATAATGTACTTTCTGGCATACATTATAGCTTGTTAAAGGGATTGATTTGGTCTGGGCAATAAACATCATGTCAAACATTATGGCACAAAAACCTGCTTAATGTTTTGTAATAAGACAGAATTTTTTGTTCTTAAACATCTGCCAACTGAATTCACAAGTGAAGACGGAAAATATCATCAATTCAGCAACAATCTTATAAATTCAGTTTCTTTTTTGTCGATGCAAACCAAGGAAAAACTTCATGATAATCAGCGTTGACTATAATACTTTATGGTATGATTAAACAAAATCCTCTTACTTTTATATAACATGCTAATGAATACATATGAATTTTTTAATGCTCTTACTGTTCAGATTTTAACAAGCATATTGCCAGCAGATCATTTTAAAGGCATCTGTTTTTTAATGTGTTGAATAGAGGGTTGAGTCAAATAGCTAAATATGTACATACATCCTTATAGAAAACATTTCTGTCCTTACTTATAGATACTACTGTTTTTCCTTAGACCACCAGAGGCTGCTGGTGTACATATTGGCTGATGCTTCCCCCCAGAAACTTCTTGCCTAGCCAACCTTCATTTATTACTGAACTAAACTGAGAATTTGTTGATCTCTAACCTTTTCCTATGGAAACCGATCATACAGGCTCAAATGTGGCATGACTGTTCCCTCCATCATCCAAACCATCTCCACTCCCTACAGATTTTCACATTGTCTTCTCTATGTTAAAAGACACTTAGAAATGTAAATCAATATTTATCCCCTTCTAAATAGCATTCACCACTTAAACAAGTACACTCAGTGGTTCTGAAATTATTAAAGGAAAAATTAAATTGCATAATTTTATAATGAAAGTAATTTGCAATAATGCTGTTGCCACAGTAGTCAAAGGATATCAAAGAAGCAACAAAGGAAGAGGTAGAAAGAAGTACTTTTATCATGCCATCTGATGGGGTCAGGTTTTCTGGGTAAAAGGATAAGCCTTTCTTACGCCTGTATGCTAGGAATTTTGTCCTTTTTTTTTTTTCTCCACCAAGTTTAGCTGCTTTAATAATTCTTACTGCAAATACTATTTTTGCTGTAGCACAATCTATAACGGCACTATTTATGCTAACAGCCTATCAATGAAATTAAATTCATTCTGGATGTAGCATACTTTTCATAAATAATTTTTACCCTCTTTCTGTGAGAGATTAAATAGAAAAAGATCATGTGCAACTAATTAGTTTGTTTTACTAAAAACAAATGCATCAGGATAATTTGTGCCAGTGTTTATTAATACACGGTTAAGTACGCAGTGAGTGCTGGTGGGCAGGAAATCCTGGCAAGCATGCAAGCACAGTTATGCCATTTCTGCTTATTTGTTCAGTGCGGCTGACACGAGGCATCACCTGACTGAAGGTCACCGCAGAGTGTTCGTTTGTGCAGGGCAGGCTTTCACTGAAGCAGATTTATTCCACGTTGGGGATGGAGCTGCTTCCTGGCATAGCTGTGGTGCCACCAGCTGTGTAGGTCTGGCCCCATGGCCATCCCTGGACAGACACGGACTCCTGCTGCCTACCCTGTGACTTGGCAAGGTGCACGCCGGCTCTCGTCCAGAGCCTCTGCAACTGCATTAGCGTGCTGCTGAGATCAAGCTAATAAGCCCCTTATTCCACCAGAAGAGACAAAATGACAAAATGGTTCCCAAGACATAAGGAACATGCTCCAGCACAGTGAAAGTCAGTGGCAGACCCAGGCATCAGGACTTGAACCTGAAAACTGTCATGCCAGTACTTATACCACAATGCCCTGTTTTTCAGCTCTTTTACAACTATCAGCATTACTTTACCTATACCTCTGAAACAACACATGGTTTTCACTGAATTATAGAATGGTTTGGGTTGAAAAGACCCTTTAAGCTCATCCAGTTCCAACC